TACTTTACACAGTTTTTGCTTCGTCATCAAACCTCTTTGACTCAGACTTTTTGGGTCATTTTGAGTCAGCAAGTTTTACCACGTCTTCAAACTGAGAGGTCCTTGATGATTACTTTTTTTTTCTCGCTTGCTTTGCCTTTATGACTGGCGACACGCCACCACCATGAAGACATCACCAGAGAGCAGCCACTGCAATGCATCAGCTTAGTCCTTTCCATATATTTAAGTGATTGCTGACATTATTTATGAAGGGAATGAAAAATAAAGTCTGCATAGCAATAACATTAAAAAAGAGAGATCTATAATTTATTTGGCCTGCCACAAGTCAGCACTCTTCGCCACCAACCCCCCTACGCACATCTCATTTCTGTGCATTTGCAGATTTCGCCTCCCTCCTCTTTTCCCTCTCAGTAGCACAGGGGGCCCATCTTTAGGGGGTGGTAGGTTGCTTTTTGGGGGTGTTTAGGGGTATCAAGGTAGTCCTGGAGGGGAGTCGGCGCAGGACTTTTGGCTCCGACCTGGAAATGCCTTCACGTTTACAAACAAACTGGCTCTTTCGCTCACCCTGTTTGCCTTTGTGGCTTTAATTTTTTTTCAAGGCCTGTACAGGCAAACACACAGCAGGAAACACTGGCTTGTTGATCGCCTTCACAGAACAGCTCATAAACCCAGCCAGTATGAATGTAAAGGGCCTGTGTGTGTGCGCACGCGCGTGCATGTATCGGTTGTGTACTTCAGGGGAGCGATATTTCCTCCTCCCCCTTCTTCTTCTTCTTTTTTTTTCCTAATCAACCTAAGGAGTGTTATGGAAGTAAACAAGCAAATAATTATTAAGCATTGAATCATGCGATTGAGGAAGAGGAAAGCTAACATGTCCTTAAAGTCAAGTTTCACTGTAAATAAGAAATTACAGTTTGATTGTCCAGCCATGTTTGTCTGTTCCTGTTTATGGATGTTGCTTGGAAACGATACTAAATCACATTGTTCAACATGTGGCATCTTCTCACACTCTCTCTTTTGCCCTCTTCCCTGCTCGCTCGCTCAGCCGCTGTGCGTTTGTAAACATGCAACTGGGATACATGGCCTCATTGTTTTGCATCATTATTACTGACAGGCCTAAACGACTTGAATGATGGGAAGCCCTCATACAAAATTAACCCAGCCCCGTGTGTTTACTCTGCCTAAATCATGTTGCTCATTGGGTTGAAACAGAATGTGGGGGGAAATGGGCCTCACATCCTGACATCTGCAAAGCACCTGTCCTGAGCCATGCATGCTAGCAGGGCCAGAGCACATTCAGACAGCTATCTCCCCTCATTTTACTCTCATGCCTTGCAAAATGCCATGACTGTCATTTTGAAAAATGTGTTTCAAAATGTATTTTCTGCTAAATATTGAAGCCTACCTTACTAGGATGATGTCCTAAATGCATCATGGTGATATCAGCTGATTTAATGTATCCTTATCCTTACATGTAAGTGCATTTTCTCTGTCAGTCGATGCCTTTATCCATTTTTGAGTAATGCTCATTGTTTAAAAAAACAAAAAAAAGAAAATCAACTTGCATACCACCCAGCATGCATCATACTGTAATTGTAGGGGGGTGGCCAGTCTCTTCCCTGGACACATGCCTTGTTTTACCATTCATTATTAGACAGCGCTCCAGGATCACATGACTACCTGTCCCACTAACCTCCCACCAGACCTTATCAGTGGTTGTACAGCAATAGTTTCCTGCGAGGCTTTTCTAGTTGGAGGGAGTTGTGTAAGCTACACTGGCTGAGAACAAAGCTATGCTTCAACAAAAGGGAGGAGGCTGGCACTGCTGGGAAAGGTGCCTGGCCTTCATCAGCCATCGCCACCAATTCGGAAGTGAGTCACTCCTCTGGCGTGTGCAGAATCTCTCTCAAAGGTCACCTGCACTGACTGCAGCACTCCTCCATGCCGTTGCATAATTCCATCAGTACTGTAGCAACAAGGCTGCAGGAGAATGCCTGTATTTATATTTTAGACATGGCAGATCAGAAAAGTTGGACAAGCACCGAGAAGGAAAACTACACCAGGGAAACTGCAGTGAAGCACATTTTATGAAATTAACTCACCATGGTTCATTGTTGTTTTGCAAATTAACTCTAAACTTGAAACAAAAAACAGTGTGTTCATCTTGTTTTTGTTCAAACTCTTCTTAAACACTCTCTCAGATTCTTCTTTTATATGTCATAAAAGATATGAGGTATGATTTTCTTACTAAATTACTGCTCTGTTACTGAAGCACATCAACCTACATGACTAGTCTATCATGGCATCGATCAGCATCTAAATGTGCCCCCTCATATGATTCAGTAGTGCTCAGTGGATGGAGTGCTTTGCCTGACTGCTGACTGTAACTGTGTCTGTTTCCTGACTGTGTCTGTTTCCTGTCCCAGATAACTGCAGTATGTAGAGAGGCTGCCCTCCTGGCCCTGCAAGAGGACATCAAAGCTCGGCACATCGAAGCCAGACACTTTGAAAGTGCCCTGAACACTGTGAAGCCCCGAATCCCTGACTCTGTCATCCAGTCGTATATCAGCTATCAGCAGCAACACAGTGGCCTGTGTTTCTTCTGACCACACAGCTATGGAAAAAGTCAAAATTAGGATTTTCTTCTTTTTATTAGTTTGGAGTTGTGTATATGTGTTAACTGTACCAGTCTGCTTCATTACACAGTGTTAAATGTTTTCAAACCACAACGTTAGGCCAAAGAATCTCATCAGTTGTAAATCGCTGACTTTAAAATAAGACTCTGTTTTTATTGCAGCATTGACACTATTGCTTTATTTTTTGACTTTGAAGGATATGGTGTGCTGTCATGTTTGATCAAATAAAAATCGATAATGTATTCATACTGTCATCGATCCACTTATTGTCTTTGGTTGCCTTATTTTAATCCCATATAACAGTGGTGAGCCAGTGTGGTAGTTTGCACTGTTAAAGACATCCAGCCGTGAATTTACAGCAGTATCAGCGTGCTGAGAAAACCCGTAAACTAACACGTCCCAAATCACGTTAAAGCAGTGCAGTCTTATAGATCTGATTGGATTTAAATACCTCCTATGCTCTGGTTTGTTGTAGCTTAACATTCATCTATAAATCTGTCCGTCCTACATGTTTCCAGTCCCACTTTGTGTAATTTATGAGTTGTGGCTCTTCTGGATTTTGAATAACTCCTCCAGTCAAATCACAGGTTTTTCTGCGTTTTCAGGACATGTTGGGTAAAGCTGCAATAAAATCTAAATTGGTAAAAACGTTGTCTAACTGATTATACAGTTGGTGGGCAGTGTGAGCCCTCTAATCAGAATATTCCACAGGCACATGGACATCTATGGAATTAAATAGCAGCATTAGACAAGGACCCCTGATGGTTCCTAAACCCCGAGTTTGGTGAACCGCTGCTCCGCATCCACGGGGAGAAAAAACAGCCGGGGCTGGTATATTCATCACATCTACCCATGGAAAATCAACTAATTGCTGTAATCGTGAGATTTCCGTCCGCACTTCAGACCACTGAGAGCAGGGATCCAGGCGGCCATCTGTCGGTCTACCAGGGCTTTCTTTATCATCAAGAAGCTACATTTTTACATCGGGCCTGAAAAAAACAAACAACCTCTAAGTTATTATTGCACCGCGGAGTCACTTTTACACTCCGCAGGTCTTTTTGTTCGATTCTTTTTTTAAACATTTGCTGACCCGAAATGGCACTGGGGGTCATTCATCTATTGATTTTTCCATTTGAATAGGATAAATTGACTTTGTATTGAACTTCCTTTTCTCATGGATCCGGATGTAGCGCATCCGCGACACCAATCAAACCAGACAGTCAGGAACAGAGAAGAGGGGGGTGGCAGGAGTGAGGAGGGGAGCCTTTCCCCCCTGGCTGCAGGGCAGCTTTTTTCTTAAGGTGGTCTGAAGCTACAGCGCACACTGCCCCGCAAATCCCCACCCCACCGCTGCCCAAACAGAAATCAACACAGAACTCCTCTGATAGTGATTTCATATCAGAGAATCGTACAAACTGAACATTCATTGCCACACGTTGTGTTTCCTCTGATGACACGAGTTAGTGCGTAATGGGAACATTCCACAGAGGACAGAGGACATCCTGTTGATGCTTCCTCTGTGAGTTGTCTGTACAATGACACAGCTGTGTGGGCAGAAACTGGTTGGGCTCGAGTCTGTATTTAATTCACAGAGACTAATGAGTTAGATGTGTATGGATCCCTATTTCACAGCAGTGAACAGGTAGCTACAGAGCACAGACACGATGAAACTGCAGTTTAGGAGCTACTTTACTCAATATATGATTCTTTCTTATTTCTATAACAAACTTTTCTCTATTCGTATGAGGTTCCTTGACCTGTGCAAGATTTAACCTAATATAACCATATTTATTAAACTTATATTTCTCATCCAAACCCTATAATAATTACCTTTGATGTTGTTGTCGTTAATCTTACTCATATTTTCCTCTAAAATCCTATAAAAATATTTTTTGTGCCCAGTACAAATATATCAAATGCCCCTTTTGAAACAATATGCGGTTTATTTTTCAGCTTATAAGGACCATCGTGGTATTTGGGTGCACATTTTTCGAAACATGGACAAAAAATAAATAAATAAATCAGAAATTCTGAATCTACGTAAAGTGGTTTTCTTTCCTTTTTTTGATGCGTGTGTATGGTACCAATAATGACAACTCAGCAATGTTATAAATAAATACGGCGTTTAATACGTCACTATTAGTCACATCACCCTCATTCACATCATTAATCATAACCCACAAGAACGGAAACTAGTATTTTTTTTCCTTCCCCTAACCCCCTCGTTGAGTCAACGTTTGCGTTTTTAAAAAGCCGTTCCACCTTAACCAGTGCACACATCTCTATCGCCCGGCCTTCCACATCTGCCCAATGAATCAGGAACGGATGCGATGTATCCTTTTTCAGCGGAGTGGCTGGCCAATGGGAGTTGGATTGTCGAGCAAACACTAAGCCCTGAGCCCCCATTCATCAGTGCTGAACAGGCCCGCAGAGCAGAAGAGAGCGCACCGCTGTCTGCAACATAACGACGCTTTTGCACAAGAGCGCAGATTTCCCGCAACAATAACTAACAGCCAGAACTCAAATACAATTCTCAGCAGATACGCGAGGAGGAGCAACTTTTGGATATAAGCTCGCGCGTGTTTATTTATTTATTTTTTCCTCTCAGCCTTCTTCATCAGAGCTCCGCCGTGGATTTACTTTATCTTGGGACAGATGCACGCGTAACACACGCTGAACTTTTCAGTACGACTTAACCGAAAAAAATAAATAAAAAGGGAATAACGCAAAGGGATACATTCGCACTTGGATTAACAGACTGAATGTTATGCATTAGACCTCATAATCTACAGCTGGACATTGCCCCTTCCGTTTGGATGGAGTTTTGGTAGATTATTTGGTTGATGGATTCGACGCTATGGATGCTTGCATATAGGTATGCATTTTCTTAGTGATTTTACGCTTATTTTGCGCATTTTGCTTTGGTTTTAGGGCATTTGTTGCCCGATAGTAGGGCACGTAGCTACCTAGAAAGCGCCGCTGCAGCAATAAAGTCCAAATGTTTTGCTGTGCGCAAAGACTTTTCGTCTTATTTTCCATGTGTTCGCCATGAAATAAAGAACCGCTGTGGGTTGAACTGATCGCGACTACTTGGTGAAGTTGATGGATTTCCACGCCAGTGTTGTTCCGAGGCTGTGCTGTAACAAACACCCCTCCCCCATGGCGGTTGTTTTCATTCATAAGTTTTGCCCGTCTATTCGGACGCGTCCTGTAATGTCTCTTGATCTCCGGCTCTGGTTTTTATAAGATCCTGTTTTTATTACTGCAAACAACGCCTTCTCATGTGAGCGCGTTCTGTGCATATGATCCTATTTAAAGTGCGCCATTTGACGGATAGACTATTAAATGTATAGATAAATATTTTTAATGTAGTTGAAACGTGAGTTTGTTTATGTGCAAAGCCGCAAAATCGATCTTTCTGCTTTGATTGTAGTAGTTTTTATTTTTATTTAATCGTTAATAGTTTTAAGGAGCCCTTCACGGGACACCTAGGCTTTATGTTTTTGTAAACTGTAAGTTTCGGCCTCCTGCAGGTCGGCTGTGCTTAATAACATCCCCAAAGACTCAAGTTCAAATTCCTAATCGTATTCCTATAAATACAAATACGATATATATATATATATATATATGTGTGTGTGTGTGTGTGTGTTCATATTGACTTCAAAAATTGGGGGCTTCTCGGAACTGAAATAAGGTTTTAATCTGACGATTTTCGAGCGTTTTTTAACTGCCGTCTATATTTTGTCGGAACTTGATCTGACCTTAGTTTTTTAGCTCTACTTTTGTCCCCGTTTCCCTGAAATCCTTTTTGATGTAGTAATAGAATACTAAGTGAGGCAGCTCATTTAGTTCCCTTGGATAGTGTCCTCGTTTCGTCGCCGCGGTGCATTTAAATGTTAACTAGTCATACAAATGTAAATGAGCAGGGGAAGTATTTGTAGGGCCTGCTGAAGTTTAGATGTGTGCCTGTTGGGGAGGAAGGTACAAAAAGTCTTGTTAATAGTCAACTTTTTCCCGGGTTGCCTCACTTAACGGGATCAAAAGTGACATATTGTCATGTTGACAGGGTAAAAACAGTTGGTCTGGATTAACTATAAAGACACCTCCAAATATTAAACTAGCCTGCACAGATTACTTATTTGTCATTAATTTATAATCACTGTTCAGCATCTCATGTTATAGCTGTGCAATAACTGCTATGGTATGGGTCAAGAATGATTGTAATGATATATTAGTATTAGATTTTTATTAGTATTATTTCTGAATCCAAAAACACTTGGGGTTGTGTTAACCCCTCTTCCATCAGGACTGTGTTTCCTAGAACAAGGATTTTTATTTTTTGCTTGACTGTTTCTGATCATATCTCCTGCCTCTTCCTTGTCTCCCCCCCCCCGGCAGGTTTTCCGATGCATGTCCACGGTGAATGTCGGAAGTGGTGATTCCCCCAGATGGAGCTCCAAAGTCAACATGGCCCTGGCGGTTCATTAGTGGTGATCCAGCAGCCTTCCCTAGAGAGTCGGCAGAGGTCGGATTACGAGCGGGAGTTCCAGCATGCCGGCATTTTCTCTCTGGAACAAATCAAGGCCATCCGCTCTAGCAACGAGTACACTGAGGGACCCTCAGTGGTTCGGAGGCCCCCTGCACCCCGGATGGTCTCCAGACCCCATGAAAAGCAGGAGAGGACTCACGAGGTCATCCTCGTCAATGTGAACAACAATTATGAGCACCGGTCATCAGGTCACCACCATCATGCTGGGGGCAGTGTGTTGGTTGGGGGACAGCAGTATGGTGGGCCTCGGGCACCAGGGCTCAGCCGCTCTACTAGCACAGGAAGCGCCGCCAGCTCAGGGAGCAACAGCAGTGCCTCCTCTGAGCAGGGACTCTTGGCACGCTCACCCCCCACCAGACCTGGCATTAGCTTACAGCATCACCACCGAGTGGATCGGCCTGTTCGGACTCAGCCGAAGCCCAAGGCCCTTTTACAGCCCCAGCAGGGACCTCAATTTTACCAGCCTCCACTAGAGGCTCCACTCAAGCCCCAGGGCAAAGGGAAATCAGACTTTTCTGGCTCTGGCAACGAGGTGGTGGCTGCTGCTGGGCACCAGTTCATCTGCGAGCGTTGTGGGAAGTGCAAGTGCACCGACTGCACAGCACCCAGGAGCCTGCCTTCATGTCTGGCGTGTAATGGCCAGTGCCTCTGCTCTGCTGAGAGTGCACTGGAGCACGGCACGTGTATGTGCCTTGTTAAGGGCATCTTCTACCACTGCTCCAATGACGATGAGGGGGATTCATGTGCTGACCACCCCTGTTCACTGTCACGTTCCCACTGCTGCTCTCGCTTCCTGTGCATGGGATTAATGTCGGTACTCTTCCCCTGTCTGCTATGCTACCCACCTGTCAAGGGGTGTCTGAAGGCATGCCAGGGTTGCTATGACCGGGTTAAGAGACCTGGCTGTCGCTGCAAGAACTCCAACACTGTGTATTGTAAACTGGAGAGCTGGGCCCCACAGACCCAGGAAAAGCCTTCCTGATCGCTTCCCAAGGTCTCAGTGATTGCCTGTGCACAGGAGACTCTAGAAACGGATCTTATGATGACAATGATAATGATAGTCACAAATTAATGTTTATCAGACATTCTGAGCACCTCCCACCCACCTCTCCTCCTCGCTGCAGAACCCTAAGGAGCTAAGCAAAGGAGTAACGAAAACCACTCGATTATTTTTAGTTTTATTTTCTCTGGATCAGGACCATGTTTTTACAGACCAGTGTTTGCCTTAACTGTTTCTATGTCTATCCTCAGCTCCTCATTAACACTATTTTTTATATATATATGAAAAGTTTTTCTTCCGTTTTAGGTAGGCACTTTCCTCCGGGTCTGTGTGCCCGGTGGGATCTGCCTCTCACCAAATCTGTGAAGGACGATCTACTATAGGGCAATTATGTAGCTGTTACCTGGTATTCATAGCAAGCAGGTATGTTTGAGTTTATTGGTTGCTACCACACTAAAACCGTGGTTTCTATGCTCATTTTGCATTAACGAAAGCACATCCATCTCATAGTATTCTCCACTTGGATATGTTTCTCTCCTTCCACCCATCTGAACCTTTCATACACATTCTGTGGCATATTCTCCGATGTTTTTTGTTTTCCTTTTATCTTGTGTAAATTGTATGTTCAAAAATCCATAAGAGGAATTCTGGCTATTTTTTAAAAGAAAAAAATGTCTGTTAAACATTTTTTTTGTTAAAAAAATATTTATTATGTGAAGCTCTATTATTTTATGATATTTATTGCAAGAGACAGTCTTAAATTTACTCATGTCTGAATATAACAAAATATCAAATACTTACTGAAAAATTAAAGGGTGGCACAAAAGAAAACTATGTTAACTTTAACGCAGAAAATATATTAATTAATGAAAAAATAGTACTGTCTGGTGTCTTGATTGCCCTGCTGAGAAGCAGTAACTAAATCTGATGGATGGCCGCTGGCTGATTTTTAAGGGAATGTGGGTCTGTTTCTTAAGTTGGGAGTTCAGTGGTGAACAGCAAATCACTGTTCCATGTGTGTATGCATGTGTGTGTGTGTGTGTGTTCACGCTGGGTGTGGAATTCCTGTTTTTTTTCTTTAAAGCTACAAGTAGAAACAGCTTGTAGCTCAAAATGTGACTGTTTACATTCTTGGAGGGCTTCTTTGCTGCGATTCTCCTCGGTAACCTTGAAAGCTAAACAATACAGGTCATTGACATGATTAGCCCCGAAGCTGCTAGCATCAACAGAGTCTCCACGTTTTCAGAGTGAGTTATGCTCACAGGAAGTAGCTCTCCCTCTAAACCCCCCTCTCGTCTCACCCGCCAACAAGTCACCACAAACTATGTACTGTAGTTTATTCCCTGGGCTTTAACGCAGCCACATCGGGATGTTCCCAAACTCCCAAATGGTCTCCGCGCTGCAAACCCAAGAGTGTGTGCCATCAGATATGAGAGCGGTCATTACGAGTAGCCGGGGCCACCTGTTCAAAGATAATAAACCGGGGCTATCAATGCTGGGCTTTTATGGCATGGTTCCTGCACTAAAGGCAATGACAGGGGCCAATCCAGCCCCCACTGTGACCCGCAGTCCCCCATTTGGCCAGCTCTTTTTGTCAGTGAATTTATCACGTGGGAAGTCCACTGAACCCCTCCACCCCCACCACTGACACCCGCGCACTTCTCCACCTCCGGGCCCCCAAGAGATGAGATCATCACTTTGAGAGTTGGTTGGTCAGCCACAAATACCAGCAGCTGGGGAAACACAAAAGGTGAACAGGAAATTCTCTTGGACAAAGGAAAAAATATACAGCAGTTTAAATTTGGAGAGCTGCAGCGCTGGCGACAAAACAACACAACCGTGTCTATTATCAGCTACAAGTGATCGCAGTGGCCTTGGTTGCTGTTTGCAGCAGGCCTCGGATCTTTGGATTATTTAAAACGTCTTCAGCTAAAGTAAACTAGAACCCACTGTTAAAGCTCTGGCACTTTTAAGGAATAATTATTTAAGCGCTTTAAAGACGAGAAAAGTAATAGTAAACTCACTAGCATACAGTCTTATTTTAATCATAAGTTTACATGAAAAAACAAAACACAAAACATCCCTTCAAGTTGGTGGTGAGTACTCACCGGGCTTTTCTTGGTGGAATGTACCTTTTGTTGCTCTGAGTAGTTAGGATTAGCGATTTGTCAATTTCCTGTTACCTTTCACAGCTGCAATTTGAGCCCTGTTTGCTCCTGGCCCTTAGATGATAGCATACAATAGGAGGCCTCTTTTTTTTTTCAGGTTTCATTATCGTTCCTCACTATGGATGAGGGGGATGGAAAAGATCTACACTGTATTCAGAAGGCGGTGAACAGGAAGACAGTGTTTACTTGATATTTTCCAGCCTAAGCCAAATAAGGCAACAGATCCTACTCCCACCATTTTCAGAACTTGGCTCTGTTAAGTCCGCAACACGTCTCTTAAATCTCTGATCTAATCAGCTGAGGTGTCTAAAATAACATTCAAGGCCCATGAATGGCTTCTTTCACTTTTCAGTCATCCTGCCACGTGAACTGCTCCGTAACTGCGTCACATTTTACTCGTCACACGACTAGCACTCCATCGAGAAAAAAAAGACATGAATTCTGAGTCAGTATTAAGTAATTCAATGGCAAAAATGGTAACAACCACCACCCCTCCTCCTCCTCCCCTTCTTTGCACTTGTTTTAGAGTAAATTTAGCTGCTCCACACACCCACGTAATGCTATTTGGAGTTGTCAGGCTTGGCGGGTCCCAAGCTGCAGCTTTGGGTTTTTTTGGGGGCCATACAAGTGCAAACATGCATGACTACCAAGTGAGTCACGATGGAAGCTCCAACCCACACATCCTACTGGGACAGTCCTTTTCTTAGCCGGGGCACTGCTGCCGGCATGGTCACAGTGGAGCAGGATATACTCTATAAACAGTCATCCTCCTCCACAGCATTCATCACCAAAAGGCTTGCTTCAGCTTTCCTCTGCCTGCTCATCTGGTTTTCATTATTTCCCCTCATGGCATATAAATAGAAATTAGCAATCAAGGGAAATATGGGGGTGGTGGATGTTGGAGGGGAAGGCAGGTTTTTTGGACTTCAGCATGACGACCAAAGTTTATGGAAGTTATCTCCTCAGATATTTGGTTTTTGTTGATCTCAGAGTCCTGGATCGACATGTGAGAGGGTTGAAGTGTTTAGAAACTGCTCCAACATCCACACTCAGCCGCCGCAGGATTAAAATGACAAAAGAACGATATTAGGTATCCATAAAAGATTTCAGTGCAGGTCCCGATAAAGTCAGAATTACTAGAGTTTACTGTATCCAAACACGGGGAAAATACAGTATATTGTTGCAGTCAGATGAAAACCTTTCCAAAATATAAACATTTTAGTGCGCAGCAATGTTTTTGCTTTGACTGCCATGTAGTGCTGACGTGATAAAAAAAAAAAAAGATTTGGAAGAAGTAATTTCTCACACAAAAACTTGTGGTTCTTTAATTTAACCTAAAATCCCCCAAGCTGAAGATGTGAACCTTTCAGCCAACAGATAGATATTAAAAAGCCAGAAAAAGAGACTTCTACTTTAAAAAAAATAACTGCAGTTACCCTGCTTGACTTCTATGTCCAGAAAGATTAGACAATACGACATTTTCTCATTTACCCCTTTGTTGCGCTTTGTCATTTATTTTCCAAATGACACACCCACCTGGGAGATTTGAAATTCACAAAGCAACGAGAGTAAATAGGCTTTTGTTTGATTGTGGCTACTACTTTAAAAATACGCGTTAACATTTTAACATGGGACCACTTTGTCCAAACAAATAGTCCCCTAAACAGTTTCCTGTTTTGAGCAGCACAATTAAATGTTAATTCCCTGTTTTAAATTAAATCATAAGTCACAGTGACAACTGTATTAAATTCTGGGAAAGTTAAACCAAAATAATCCAATTAGCAATAAAGACTCTTTTGTATTGTGTGGCACTACGTAAAACTACATTTAGATGCTGTTTCCTGTTGGTCAGATGACCAGTGCAGCACCTATTTAGTGGGCTCTTCCCTCATTGGGAGCTATAAAGGGCCTGTAGGTACAACCCAGTGTTTTATCAGGTGTTGGACTATTGAAGACGGATGTGTTTCATTGGGGTTTGAGCCCTTTTAAGCACTTGCTTCTGGGTATACACACACCCACAGGAGCTTAATGTAACCCCCACCCCTTTAACTTAGTACGTGTCCGTGCAGCATCACAAGCCATCTGATGCCTCATTCTTAACCGAGCCTCCTTCCTGTCTCTTGTCTTTGTCTACTATTTTATGGACAAAGACCAGCTGGAGACAGTGATGTCTATCATGAAGGAGGAGGCTGATGGATCAATACAGTGTAATGCGCTTGGCAATCTTTCGGTGAGCTCCTTTTGAAATTAATGGTTGGCATAATTTTTGCTACAGACTTGCTCTTGATCAATGGTTCCTGTTGACTCATCAGTATTCCAAGTGTTTGCAAAGCCTGTCTATTGGGGCCAGTTCTCACAGGCCCCAATAGACTCACTTGTGATTTTGTATTCTGCTCACTAATTAAATCAGCAGGGTGTTTGTCTCGCTGTTGCTCTTATTGGAGACTGTTGTTAGAAACAGCAGTTGTCAACAGTCATTAGATCTGATCCCCAAATGTGCTCACAGCGATTCAAGAGATAATCAAAAGACTGTAGTTTATAGCCAGGGATATGTGAAAATGACAGCAACATACAAGAATGATGAAGATCAGAACCTGCCTTACATAAAAATCACCTCCACAAATAAAAGATCACACCCTTGTTTCTCTTTTTACAGCCCCAGGGGACAATCTTGTGTGTTGCATTCCAGGCCCCCTACAAGCACGTTTGTTCTGTTTTTCCCTTTTGATAGCTCAAAAGAAGGCCAACAAAAAGCATCACACATGAACATCAAGTACATAGTTTGAAAGATAAATAGATTTGTGTGTATTTTTCTGCAAGGAAGAAGAGGAAGCTTGCTCTTTCTTTATCCCCCCTTCCCTCCCCCCTTCTTTCTCTCCCTTTTTTTCAAGATTAGACTGCATCCAGACAGATGGTTCCCGTCTGCTGGCTTTTTTCAATTCACTTCCTCTCGTCACAGACAGCCTCTCTTCCCCCCTCTGTCCCCCCCTCCTCAACGGCTCCTCTGTTATGTGGCTGGAAATAATCTTTTATTGCCCAGTTGTTCGGAAGTGACCTTCTGCCCTTGATTAGATAGGGCCAAGTCCTATCACACGATTGTATTTGAGCTGGCGGGACAACCCCCACACCCCACACACACACCATTCATCCCCTCCCACAGCCCCATCCTTTACCCAACCCCCCATGCCTCTCATACTGCCAGGACCTTGGTGATCCTGTATGAGGGCACAACAATGGGGGGCTTTAGTCCCGTCCGGCTCTACTCGGCTGGGGGGGCAATAGGGTGGGGGTCATGAGGGACTTTCATTTTTTTTTTCATCAGTCAACCAGTCACTGAGTGGAAGTTGCAGCCCCCTTGTCCCTCCCCCCTCCCCCCTAAAGCTTCCATTCCATCAGCAATACGATGGTTAACCTCCCAGTTGCCGGATGTTCACCCTTTGACCCTTAAAAAGCCTCTTCCTTCTTCCTTTCCCAATGACCCCCCCTCCCACCCTTATGAACCACTCCAGAGATAGGCTTTAATCTCCTACACTATCAGTGGACCTTTGAGGCTGCTGTGTGGTCGACCAACAGGTGGGCTTGCTGAGATGTTTTGATCTTTGTGGAACTTGGGATCAGGCAGGTTTTGATCCCGTTTCTTAGAAATATCCAGTTCTAGTCTGAAGGAGATGAAAATCCACTAAAGCAAGCAGTAATCAGTGGTTTACACTCTGACACAGCAAATAAAAGTGAATGTTAAAACACAGGGATTAACAGACAGCCTCTTCTTCCTAGGACTGTCCAGCTCCCCCTGCGCTCAAGTTCAAGAAGGATAGGTAATGAGCTAAGACTGTTCTCTCATATTTGCTTTACATCTGCAACAACATCCACTAATAGTATTATAAATATTTGATGCAGACACAACATTTTGATGTTTGAAACGATTGTTTGAGCAGGTCTTAGGGAAATTTAGGAAATAAACAGGTGCTGATGGGTTTACACTCATAGAGCCCTGAGTGGTTTACAGTAAGTCATATTTTGTCAGGCTGTTTCCTTTGCTTTAATTTTTTTTTGATATTTCAGTGACATTATTTAAAAGTGTGGAAACCTTATCAAACACTACAAATCCCTCCCACCCCTCAACCCCCTGAGTACAATTTAGGTAGTTTCCCAATATGAGACACAACATGTACCCACAACGCTGGCTCTTTTTCCACTGTGGTTGTGCTCTTCAATTGTTTAACCTCAAAAAGTAGTTTAATTCGTTTCAACACAAGCCTAAACCACTTGGTTATTATGTTTTTTAAAGGAACAAATCTGAGAAAAAAATCAACTTGTGTTTTTTTTCTAAACTCCTTTTCTAATTTTAGTGGCAGTTTTATAGTCATGCCACAACTTCAGGTAAAAAGCAGCCCTTTTCTCTCTCTCTCTGCTGGCTTGTTTGTTTCTTGTGCTCTTGAGCTGTAAACCCATAACAAAAACCTCGGTGTCCAGTTTCATTTTGTGAACCAAAGCCAGGCTGTGAATAGAAGAAGAATAGACAGGAAGACAACTCTGATTACCTCTATAAAGGAGCTGACCTCACGTTCCTCTCTCTTCTACCCTGTCCTCCCTGTCTCTTGCAAAAAATACTTTACAACTGAACCATTTATCTCAAAGCTGAAATTCTAAGGTGTACAATATGTGCAGAAAACTTGATATTGAACTAAAATGACTCAAATCCCTCCCCTTGTTTTTATGCACAGCATATTCAAACCCTTAAAAAGTGATATGTGACAGACAGTAGTGCTGCATCTAACCTTTCTAGAGGTGCAATCACAGCAGAACAGATTCCCACACCACTGTTTAAATCAATAGTTGCTCGTCAAAATAGATGATAGAAGATTTGCATTAAGTTCCTTTGAAATACTTCAAATAATTGCATTACTGACTGTTTACAGTCAGCCTATTACAGTGATCGAATCAAGCCCAATGGAAAGATTGAGGGCATCTGTTTGGCAGGGGTCCTGCACTCCTCCCTCATCTGCCTCCAGGGTCTCCAAACCCCAAATCCAGAGTGGGGGTTGGGGGTCTTAACAGGAAGCTGACGAACCCTCCCCTCCTTGAAGGGGTGGGGGAAAAGGGCCTCTAGATCAAAGAGGAATCACACAGAAATGGCTTATCTGTTGTTGATTTTAAGCTTAGGATAAAGCACTGGGTTCTAGAAATGTGTCAAGGATTTACAGAGCTGGACCACTGAAGCTCCCACTTTCATCAAGGCAATTTCTTTTTCCAGATCTCTGCGAATGTGGGGGGTGTTCATGCAGAGTGGTGAGGGTTGCTTTCAAGCAACAAATAAGTGCAGGTGAGAAAAAAAGGGTCAACAAACATGGCAAAAGCACAAAGTTTCCACACTGATAACCAAAATTTTGTTTTATCTGATTCTATCTTACAGGTTTGCATTCTTGTATGTATTAAAAAACCAGTAGACATCAATAATTTCAACTCCCATTCTGTCCAGTCTTTAACATTTCAATTTCAAACCCAGCAAGAGGTGTGATTCTATCTCCATGTGTTTCAATGGCACTATTATGCCAAAGGGGAAATTGGACCTGCAGGCCAGCCACTTTCTCTGCTGTAGATCTTATTAAGTATGTCTCTCCATAATACAACCCAGCTTGACTCTCCGAGACCACACCCCTTTAGAGGAGCAGACCTGTCAGTCACAATCCTTGCAAGGCTCTGAAATGGTTAACTATTGCATGATTGGCACCTAGCAGAACATATACAGGCTCTGTGGGAATATACAGAAATGCTGTTGTACCACCAGGAGAAATTCTTTTCCACCTCGCTGCCCAGCCAGATTGTTGTATGTGCAAGTGTTAAGTTGCAGATGGGCGAAGTTGGCTATTTTCTACATAAAGCAGTTTCAGTGTAGCAAAGCAAGACGGGATGTTGACCATTATATATTCAGAACCACAGTATGCAGATATGCAGTACTGCACACCATCCTGTGGAACAGATAAAACGCCTCAGTGGGTTCCAAACTCTCTTATTGGACCCAAATTTCCAAAGTAATTTTCCTTGCAACTTAAAATTGTTGTTGTAGACTACTGTGCAGGCCGGTCTGGTCGTTCCAGGTTTTAGGGGAGTAAATCAGCAGCAGATAATATGTTTCAGTTGGCTGTCCTGGCAGCACAGGGCCTCGGGAATGTTTGGCCTGATAAAAAAAAAAGGCAGTTTTAACATTTCATACTAAACTTTTCTTTCCAGAGTATTTTAGGACTCATGCTAATTTCCCTATTTGCCATATGTCATGTTGTGGCCTGCACTATCAGCTAGAAAAGCACAGCATATTTTTGGAAGACTGTTATGCAGATGTGTTGTGGTATCTTTCTTTTATCATAGATGTATGAAAACTGATTTCTGGTTTCTAACATTTACAGTTCATGGATC